TCTCTCTCTCTCTCCCTCCTCCGTGCGAAACGCGCGGATTTATGCCAGTTCTGAAATACCACGGAACAGACACACCCTTGAAGCTCACTGCGCGTAATCGCGCGATTCTACGGCGGATGTTTAAATGTGTGCCATGGGAGTTCAAATATCCCGAACGTACGTTTACAGTCTATTCAATAAAACGTAGAATTAAAGCATTAAAAGTGAAATTTTTTAGTATCTGAATTATTAAAGAAACATACGCCATTGTTTTAATTGTTATGACGCAGGCTTATAACAAATTATGCTCCAAATAAATCATAAATACGAAGTAAACCATAAAAACCATAAATGTTGTAAAAACAATAATGAATAAAATATTCTTGTGGCATAGTCAAGATTCGTATTCATAATCCATTCCTATTTAACTCGGTATTTTTTAACATATTATTTTTTTACTATTAGCACGCCTATATACATATTCATGATAATCCTTTTTATATAAAATTGAATTTGTATAAAATAGTACAGTTTATATTTTAATTGTTATGACATAGATTTATAACAAATTGTGCTTCAAATAAATCATAAATACGAAGTAAACCATAAATGTTGTAAAAACAGTAGATAAAATATTCTTTTGATAGTCGAGGTTCGTATAATCCATTCATATTTAACCCAATAACATTTTATTTTTTTAACATTTTATTTTTTATTATCAGCACGCCTACATACATGTTCGTAACAATACCTTTTGTACTGAATTTATATAAAATAATAGTTTATATAAATTGCGAAGAAATAAAATAGATATTTCTTTGTTTATTAAATGTGACAAATCGTTTAAAATTTAATAAAAAAAGGTTTATTTTCAAAAAGAAATTCTATTATAGATTTAATTGGAATCTCCTCTCTGAGGCTATTAAACAAATTGTTTTTCAAAGATTAAAGGTATTAAAATTGTGAATAATACAGAGCAGGAAAACGACTGTTTACGTCCTCTGTCGCGTTAAACTCGAGCGATAGTAAAGGTTCAAAGGAACAGAAAATAATACATATGTAGATTTCATGATAGAAATGGAATTATAGATGGAGAGAAAAAGAGAAAAGAAAAGAGAGAAACGTAATACAAAGCTATGTTAACGAAGAAAATTTCATCGTCGTAAAAGATTACATAATTCTCGTTTGTGTTTGTTGCATTTACGCGAAAGAGACGGATCGATAATTGTCAGCCTCGTCCATTTTTTTCTCTTGCAGTCTTTTCAAACGTCTCTCTTGTGTATCGGCATTCTTTATGTGCTCTATATTTATACGCCATAATAGATTCGATGGATGCTGGTTAGCGCGATG